CCCCAAAACCCCAAAACCCCAAAACCCCTAATTACCAAAAGTGGTTGACAATATCTTAAACCGATTTATTAATAAAATGGGCTAATGGGAATAAGCAAACATCTATTAAACTCTCGATATAAACTTATGAGCATCGAAACACCCCTCGTTGGTGAAGTAGTCCATAATCATGTCTTGCAGAGTGGAGCTATCGTAGTTGAAGTTGGTTTTCCCTCTCATTCCGTTGATTCCGATCGAATACAAGTCGTGCATAACAGCAGCTTCCTTCTCACATTTGAAGGTTCCGATGTATTTCTTCTTGCTGCGGACGTTAATAAGGACCTGCCAGCGCTTTCCATTGCCGAGCAATCCGATGTACCTCGATCTTCTTCTAGAAGCGCCATTGTGAAGACCTCTAGAGCTTTTTGAAGTTGCTCTGAAGCTCACTTCTTGATTACTCCCAATTATTTGAAGAACCATACGGAGGTTTTGGGAGATGTCAGGTAGAGCATTCACGGTGGCTTTCTTCGTGATAATCTTAGCTGGGACTTCCTTCTTTTGATCAAAAGGCAAACTATAGTGTCTTGCTAAACTTTGATAGCATGGAATGCTTCTTTGAGGCATGAGAGTGAAGCTTGGTGATGTTGACACATCTCATCCCCAGCAATACTTGTCACAGATTTCTCCTAGAGTTCTCTCTAAGGCATGATAACATGTCTATACAGCATTAGGTTCAGACAAAGTTTGAGGTCTCTGGACTTACCATTGGCAAAGTTTGGACTCCAAAGGTATTCGTTTGGTTTATCTGAAACATATTTGTTATTAAATTTACTAAAAATTAGTAGCTTTATATATTATCTAAAACCTCACAATCCCAATTGGAAGATACGGAGATTAGTCGGAACTTTTATCAGTGTTTAGTCTTCTCTTCTATACAAGGGGTCACCATTCAAATTTAGATGTTATTTTTATGGATCAGCCATTTCTAATTCCTTCATTAAGTAACAAAATATAACTTGTTGATATTATGAGACATACCAAGGGCGATATGATCAGTGAAGGGTAGGATAAGCGTGCCAGATCTCTTCCTTCCACCTCTAATAAACTCAACTCAAATTTCTGCAGTTTAAGATCTACATTTTTAGAAGTCCAGCTAGTTTTAAGGTTGCTCAGCGTATTTGAAAGGTAAATATAAGAAGTATATGAAAAGGAAGCGATTACCTTTCTAACATCAGGCATATGTATGGAATATTCTCTGGAAGCAATTTTACTGAGCTCTAAATTGAAGAATAACCCTCACGATCCTTCCTATAGCTAATGCTTTGGAATGTGCTCTTGAAGGGGAAGCTGACGATGCTGGGAATTTTGTTAAAATTTGTCCTAAAAAATTGGCATTTTGGGAATAATAATCAGTATTCTTTCAAAAAGAAAAAAGAATCCTTTTAAGAGGGCATATCCTCGGTTTGAAAGGACTGACACATCTCTGAGGCTTTGAAACCAACCCTTAGGAAATATAAAATATTCTGATTAGTTTATAAACACTTTTGTAAAACTCAAGCAAATGCACGGGTTAGTTAGAAACTATTCATGAGATTTATCTACTCATGCTCAAGCATTAAAATATAAGGTTTGAGCAATCTAAACATCGATATATCAAGCATATATATATGTATTAGCCCAAAGGGTACATCAGAGGCAATTTTTATGCATAAAATTTTCAGGCTCCATGATAGAGCAAGGAATTTAAGCAGTCCATAAACTCTTGAATATTCCCTTGATTATATTATCAATACCCGTCGATATCAAAAATAGTTGCCTAGCTATGGCTTGCCTCTCTTCTTGGAGGTTGGGGCTTCGGTTATCAATTGCTTAACAAACATGTTAATGGTAGTATTGAAAAGAAGATTTTTATGACGCTTCCAAAGTTTAATAATAGCCTCTTGAATATGCTCTTGCACTGAAGTAAAAATACTGAATTTTTCGAGTTTATTTATAATTAAGCTAAATATTCTTTTTCATCTAGAGACAACCTCTTGTGCAAAAGTTCGACTCCTTTCACACTCTTGAGTCATTATAATCTGAGATATACTGAAATTTAGAATTATTCATAATTGTGTGGATAATAGGCTAAGCCTCAGCAATAATTAGATGAGAAAAACCTACCACAAAGCTAGCAAATATGGGGGCTGCTTCAGTAAAATGATACTTTAGCATCACCTAACTTTTATGATTAACCTCTTTGTTATTCTTGATAAAAATTTTAGAGCTAAAGTAAGCATTTTGTAAGGTAAAAGAAACAGATTTTGAAAGAAGTAAGGTGAAGCTCGAGACTCATTTTACTGAATTAACCCCCATATTTATTAGCTTGATGGTAGACTCAGCAAGTGAATTATTACCAAGCCTAGCTCCTCCCTCACTTGATTAAGAATAATTCTTAAATACCTTCATCCTAGGCAAACGATTGCTAAATTTCCTCTCTCAAATTCTCAGGTTTATCCCATATTAACTATAATCTAATCTATCATGTATGAATCTTTCCACCTTATTTTCTCCCATTAGAAGTCCAAAGGGAAGAATTTGCCATGCGTACTCATTTCTTGTGCTATAATACCCTATCGGCCACTACCGATGACCTATCTGAACTTCTAGAGGGATTGGCGAAATCCCTATTCCGCAAATATGCTAAATCTCATAATTTAAGAATTCAGGATCTGTGATAGGCTTAACAAACTTGGAAAATTGTGAAGAAATAATATTTTTAGGCTTAAAAATTACCCTAAATGGGGCTAGATAATTGATATAGACTGAGATTTAGTTGGGAGTATAGGTGTTTTGGAGGGAGGAGATCTTCATGAGTCGTCTCAATAGATGAAGAGGGCCCATGTCTTGAACTGTCTATGGGTTTAGGAGTATTATAGACATAATAAGGTATTTGAGAGTGTGGAGCAGAGTTTAGTGCATTGGAGGATTTTTTAGATAATTTTGGGGTCCTAGTTTTATAAAGTTAATATTTATCCGAAATTAGTGGGTTATGATAATTCTGCTTTATTGAATCTATTGGTTTGGTCAATATTATACAAATTTATGTTAAAGGAATCTCTTTGCAAGTTTTATAAAGACCATTCCATAAGAATCAAATTTGCAAATCCTGCACTTCTCATATCTTGACTAAACTGTTGGTCGTATAGCAATGCCTATTAGCTATTTTTCTCTTCTCTAAATTTTGGATCCTTTAATCTTCTATTATTGATCAATTCACCATGTTGGTAAATACTACTTCAATAAGCTTTTTACCCTTCGGGGTTTTGGGGTTTTGGGGTTTTGGGGTTTTGGGGTTTTGGGGTTTTGGGGTTTTGGGG